CGGAGCCGCGAGGGGAGAGGAAAACAAAGATGGGGGAGAGAGGAAGGCGAGGCAGCCCAGGAGAGACGGGAGGTCTGCAGGCCTGTTTCCTGGGAGCCACCTTTCTGCCTCGAGAGAGCGGATGAGCTGGGAGGAAAGATGGCAAGGAAAGGCCGAGCGGGGATCTGAACACCCGTCAGGCACGCTTTAATACGCGTTCGCGTATTGTAATGCACGTTACAGCGTCACTGAAACAAACCATGCTCCACAAAAGAGGTGAATGTGCATTAAGTGTCACTAAAACTGTAAGCTCCTATAGACATGTGGAAATCCAGCGTGTCGGAGCAGACTCAGTTAGTTGAGTGTCACAGCAGGGAGATTGAGGCGCTGTGGCAGCTGTCTGTGTTGCATGTATCAGCATCGCCACGCTGAAAAAATGACAGTGGGGTGCTTTGAAATAAAACCGGTTTGATGAGCTTTAGTTCAAGGCACCCCACTGCCATTTTTTCAGCTTGGGGACTGCTGATGCACGTCACACACAGGTGCTTTTAATTAGCTCTTGACACCCCTGACCCACGCACTAGTTGCCAACCAAGGTGCATGCGTACGTGGCCGTGCACAGTTTAAAATCTTGCTGTGCACAAACTTATTAATGCCTTGCACCTGCCCAGAGAAGAGCTGGGCTGTGGCTTCCTGGAGAGGAGCTGGGCGCAGTTTTTCCTGCCCAAGTGCAGGGGGGCTGGACCTGATGATCTGTAAGGTCCTTTCCAGCCCCTAACAACTGTGAAATTAATTAAACTACCTGGCACCATGTCCCCACACCACATATAAAAATGCCCCCTGCTATTTAGTAAATGCTCATTAAGACAGGCTAACATACATTTTCTTAGTACCTCACAATAGAAGTACTAGATTTAATGCGTGTGAGCTGAAGTGTGTTAATGCACATGTATTCACACCCTTAAATGCTGATGGAAGAAGGTTTGACCCACCTGCAGCCCCTGGGCCTGTTCTTGCCAAGGAAACCAGACTGGTTAAAAAGGAAAGAAAAAAAAAAAAAGTTGTGAAGTATTGCTGGTAGCATTGGAAGAGGGTAGGAGAGCAGCCTGGATGGGACCAAACAGTAGTCACAAAGCAGAGAAGAATTGGAATAAGCAGGAGCGAGGGCTTTATTTACTCCCAGAGTCAGTTTGATTCCAGCAAAAGGGGACTTACTGTACTCCCTATAGGTAGCGTTGTTTCAAAGGACTTTGTAGCCACGCTGGAATAAGCCATCAAACCTCACGTTTAAAAAAAAAAAAACCTATTTATAAAGAATTTAAAAATTCAGTTGCAGAAAATTAATTAATTGTAAACTACAAATTGAACTAGACAAGATGAACATGAGCTTACGTTTAAAAGTGCAGGTAGAATTATCTGTATTGCTATTGCTCTCATGAAGTAAGCATAAGGTAAACATCGGAGTTTTTTTTTTTTTTTTTAAATCATGACAGTTTAGGAGAATAACAAACCTCATGCCCAGCCTGCTTTATGCCAGCTGAAGCCAAACTTTGAAGTTGGGGGGGGGGAATTCTAGTTGTTGAGTACGTGTGTGAAAGTGCTAAAATACATAGTCATGAGCACTGTAGAACCAGTGAAGAATAATGAAGAGTAAGATTTGATTTGTGCAGTAAATAAGGTGTGGGCATATGCCTCGATGATCATTAAAAATATTGAATACAGTTTAGGTGAACATAATTCTGTTGTGCAGCATAAAGCAGAAATATTGTAGGGGAAAAATGTTACTGAGTGATACCTAACATTTGACACCTTCTCTGACAAGTTGACACTTTTTCTCTTGTGGTTGAAAATTTGCAGACCTCTTTCTCTTTTCCAATAATTGTAGTGCTGACTTTGTGCATGTTAAAAAATAAGTAAACCACAGCAACATTTTCAAAGCTTCATATGTCTTTGTGGTTAATAGGTGAATCTTAACCTTATGTATGCAATACTCTGAAAAGTGTATGTGGTCTCATTCTTAAGACAAAATGCCCTTCATTTTCCATCGCTAACATAGCACAAAACAAAATGGGCACTTTGTGGCCTACTTATGGCTCATTTAAGTCTTTCACAAGACTTATGTGGCAGCCACATATATTAAAATAACGGTCACAAACTGGCAGAGGGTAGATTCAGGCTAGACATCAGGAGGCGCTACTTCACTGTCAGGGCGGCTAGGATATGGAACCAACTTCCAAGGGAAGTGGTGCTGGCTCCTACCCTGGAGGTCTTTAAGAGGAAGGTAGATGAACACCTTGTCAGGGTCATTTGACTCCAGTACTCTTTCCTGCCGTGGCAGGAGGTCAGACTTGATCTGCTCAGGTCTGTTCCGACCCTCCAACTATGAAACTATGAAAATTGAAACGATACAGAGAAGATTAGCATAGCCCCTGTGCAAGGATGACACAAATGTGTGAAGTGTTCCATATTTTAAAAAAAAGTCTTTCTCCTGTCTATTTTTGGGGGGGAAGGAGGAAGGGGCAGCAGGAAGGAAGCAAACCCTCAAATATGACCTCTTCCAGATTGTATGTATCCAACATACTTACAAAAGCTATATTAAGAATGTTAACTTTGCAAAGTCAAATGATTGAAACCTAGGAAATGCAAAATAAAATGAACTAAGCAACCTTAATTTGACCTTTTTATATATTTGTACCATAATGGCCTTTGGTACGCTCATGTGGTGTTTCTTCCTGTGCACACATCAGTAACACTCATCGTAAGGAAGCTGTTCAGAACTTTGTGTAACCACGTCCTTTTCACTGGATGGCATCTAAATGCTCTGCTGAGTACAGCTTTACTAATTCTGCCATGGAAGGACCATGAATAATATGACACAAATTGATCTATCCAGACATTTATTGCAAATTTTATTCACAATTCTTGTAAGAATAAGTCTCATTGGTTTAAAGATGGGGAGCTTTAGCTGTAATTTGTGAAGTATCTTACTTATGTATGCTTTAGTGACTGGATAACCAATTGGAGAAATAGCTTTCTTGTGAAAGTACCTGAGTATTTTATAATATCACTTTATAAGTTAAAAGTAGTACACAGACACTTCCTGACTAAATTCCTAGGAGGAAAATGCATAAATGCTAGCTGTATTTTAGGCAGACAAGGTTCTTTGAGTAAATGTGATATTTTTTTATTAGATCAACCCAGACTTTGGGAAAACCAAGGAAACTGGGATGATGCCTTTGACTGGTGTACTTTTAATTTTGACAATCCACTATCCCATCCTCACTGTCTCTGTACCATTCATTTTGACAGCAAATGAGGCAGGAGTCCTGAATCATCTTCATTTCCTACTCAATCCTGACTCCTTGATCAGGAGTTCTGGATTCAGAGTACAGACTCCTGCCCCTTGAAGTTAAGAAGAAACTGGTGTCAGTAGTATACTGATATTCTGTATATGAACCAGCTGCTAGAGGAATGTGTGACAGGCTTTGATAGATTCACACTTAACTACTTGCTGAATTACAAAAGAATTACAGAGGCAAGGTAGTGGGATAGAAGTGACAGAATTAGAGGCGTACCTGGACACATCTGCACCTTGGGAAGTGTCAGTGGCTGAGCCAGCGATGAAGTGGCTTAGGATTTAGAAAATTCTGCTATTTTTTTACCCTCCCCTACTCGGTCTGGGCACCCAGGAGTGATGCTGCAGTAGTCCTCCCTTAGCCATGCTACTGGAGTCGTCCTGGATTTTACTTCTGACTGTGGAGGGGGGTTTGGTTTACTGTTAGATAATGAAACCAAAGCATGTGCGTTTGGCTTGTTTATTCTTTTTCTTGCCATTCAAAACTGACCATGGCATGTGATATATGTTGAAGCAGTCTCAGAGGTTTAAGAATTTAGGTGTCCAGGCAGTCCAAAAAGAAATTTGGAAGTCTTGCTGACCTCCATTTTCCATGGTTCAAGAAATAAGTGGTAAGTTGTATAGGTTAGAAACTTTTTTTTTTTTTTAATTCTAAAGTGTTAATACCCTGTTACTATCTCGCTGAGTATAGAACAGTTGCAGCATGGGGCTGAGTCTTAATGCCTTAGCATCACTTCTGTCCCACTACCTTGATGCAGTAGCACCGGTAGGTCGAGTTTGTGTGTCATAATAATCGCAGTTTTCCAGAAGGCCTGTGTTGGTCTTTTATGGTGACATGCTACTAGATTTTACGACACTAGACACAGCTGCCTCCAGCTGGTAAGTCTGTTGTGGTGGATGGAGGTGGGGATGGTAGGGGCATGGAGGAGACAGATCAATGCCCCCGCAACGAGGGAGGGATTGGGGCTAGGGCTCAGATCGGGGAGAGGCAGGCATCAGGGGCTATGGGGAATTTTAGCGTGTCTGCAGCCCCCCCATAACCCTTGCTCTGCAGCCCGCCCTGATCTGGGAGCACACGCTCCCCACCCCCCATGCCCTGCCGCAGCTCGTCCTGGAGCCGCAGGAAGGTTGGAGTGGCTCCCGCTGCTGCATGCTGTTTGTCTGGAGGTGGCAGAGCAGCTCCGCCCCGCACTCCCCCGCCCTGGCTGGGCAAGTGGCGGGAAAGCGTAGCCCCTACTCCCAACACCTTCCACCACCCATCCAGACCACAGCCCAGCCCAGCCCACCTCACGCAGATCCAGGGGCACACTCCCACTCCTGTGTCCTCCTGGACCAGCGGCAAGAGCTTCTGGAGGAGCCACCAGACAAGCAGCTCCTGGACCAGTGGTGCACAGCTG